CAAACTAAACAACCCCTGTTCCTTCAGGAATGGGGCTGAATTGGCTTCTGCTCCTCTCAATACACTGGAGAGACCCCAAACAGCAGAGCCTTTGGGTGCTGCTCCAAGGACCCTTCTTGGGGCTATCGATTGCTAACAGCCCCTTGCTCCAGCCACTCTCCTTGTCGCAGGAGCAGGGAAGGACATTCCTCATCTGGGTTCCTACCTGGAATATCTCGAAGCCGTAGATGTCCAGCACCCCGATGCTGTACTCCTCATACGGCTTCTGCATAGCCCGGTTGATAGACTGCAGGGAGAGATGGGACAAGCCACCTTCATCAGGGGCAGAGGGTGGTGGGATGTGGATGGTGGGATGGTGACCATCCTCTGCACCATGGCTGTGCTCGGTGCTGCCAACCAGGACCCCTCACCTCCACGAGGAAGTCGAAGACACGGGCGTAGAGCCCCTTGGCCAGGGCGTCCCGGGTGTAAGCTGCCTGCTCCACGTTGAGGGTCACAGTGATGGACTCGGAGCGGCCACCCCACTTGCTGTCCATTTTCCTGCTGGTGACCTTCTCGTTGAGGCGGTTCTGGTCGATCCCCAGCAGGTAGGCAGGGAAAGCCAGAGCTAGGCAGAGTCAGGGGGGGTGGTCAGGGCTGCCAGCTCCCTGTATGCCCCCCTCACACTGCTGGGGACCCCCCAGCCCTGTCCAAGTGCAAAGGACATTGGTGGTGGAGCGATCAGGGACATGGGACGTGGTCCTCCCTCTGCTAAATCACAGCAAACCACTCCTGGCATCTGTCCCCTTGCTAATTAAGCTCTGGCTGTGCCATTTGCTCGCTGCCTCAGTTTCCCCAGGTCTAACATGGGGAAGATGCTGATGCTGCCTCTCTGCTTTGCCAGGGGATTTGTGCTACAGAGAGTTTGCAGCTCATTTCATAGAGTCATGGAATGGTGTGAGTTGGAAGGGACCCACCAGGATGATGGTGGGTACAACTCCTGTCCCTGCACAGGACAATCC